GATCCTATAGAACCTATTGCCACACATGAGGGGAGCAACAACAGCCTCAAACATCAGTTGTGTCAAATGTGGAGGCCCCTAGAAGGTCTCAAAGAGTTAGAAAATCAGCTATTTCTACTGATTATGAAGTGTATAACACTAAGGAATTTCAAATGGAGGATGATCCCACCTCATTTGGAGAAGCCATGAGAAGTGATCATTCATCAAAGTGGCTTGAGGCCATGGAAGATGAAATAAAATCGATGAATGCCAATAGAGTTTGGGACTTGGAAATAATTCCTAAAGGAGCCAATACAGTAGGCTATAAATGGGTCTATAGAACAAAACTTGACTCTCAAGGGAATATAGAAACATATAAAGCGTGACTTATGGCAAAAGGCTTTATGCAAAGAGAAGGGATTGATTACAACGAGACCTTTTCTCCAGTCTCATGTAAAGTTTCCTTCAGAATCATAATGGCATTAGTGGCACATTACGATTGAGAATTACATCAGATGGATGTAAAGACGGCATTTCTCAACGGAGACTTGGAGGAAAATGTTTACATGGCACAACCGAAAGGTTTTGTCATGGAAGGAAAAGAACGAATGGGATGCCGCCTAAAGAAATCTATTTATAGATTAAAGCAAGCTTCAAGACAGTGGTAATTGAAGTTTGATCAGTCAATAAAGAATTTTGGGTTTTTTAAAGAGAATGTAGAGGACAATTGTGTCTATGCAAAGTTTAAGAATGGGAAGTTTATCTTCCTTGTCCTATATGTAGATGATATCTTACTTGCTAGTAGTGATGTCAGTCTACTACTGGAGACAAAAAAATTTGATATGAAAGATCTTGGCGAAGCCTCGTTCGTTCTAGGGATCGAGATTCACCAAGATAGAAGAAAAATGGTATAAGGACTGTCACAAAAGGCATACATAGAAAATACCTTAAAGAAATTCAGTATGCACAAATGTAGTCCCTCACCTGCTCCTATAGTCAAGGGCGACAGATATGAGGATTTTCAATGCCCTAGGAACCAATATGAGCTCAATCGATAAAGTAAAAGTGGTTCCATATGCTTCAGCTGTCGGAAGCTTACAACATGCTCAAGTATGTACGCGCCCTGACTTGGTATTTGTTACCGGATTTTACTTGGCAGATTCCAGAGCAATTCTGGAATAGAACACTGAAATTAGTAAAGAAAGTCTTGCATTATTTGCAAGGAACGAAAGGCCTCATGATGACATATAGAAGATCTGATTCACTCCACATGGTGGGATATTCAGATTCTGATTATGCGAGAGTGAATGCATATCTAGACATGGATTTTGTATCATCTCGCAAATGGGAGCTATTTCATGGAAAAGCTCAAAGCAAACTGTCACTACATCGTCCACAATGTATGACAGTTTGTAGCGTGTTATGAGGCAACGGGCAGGTGAACTAACTAATGAAGTTCATACCCGGTTTGAAGGTGGTTGACGACATCTATAGACCACTTAAAGTTATACTGCGATTATAATCTGGCAGTACAGTATGCTCACAACATAAGTCAAGTGGTGCTGCCAAACACATTGACATAGAGTATTATGTTGTGAAAGATAAAGTCCAGGATCAAGTCATAAGTCTTGAGCATATAAGTACAGAGAAGATGCTCGCGGATCCGCTTACAAAAGGCTTACCACCCAACATGTTCAGAGGACATGGTGTTCAGAGAACATGTGGCTAGCATGGGTCTAAGGGAAAGCCTATAAAATTCCTGGACAAAAGAAGGCCCAAAAGATAAGTATCTATTTTAGAACAGAGTAGTGAGTTGTAGCGGTTAAGTCTATCGGCAATGGACCGTGACGATGAGACATGCTCTATGAGCTAATCTGTAATAGAATGAACAAAAGTAAATGATATGAAAGTGAAAGATGGAATGAGATCAAGGGAGAATGTTAGTTGATCTCCACCAATAGACCCAACGGCCTATTGGGCCCTTGTATCTGCTCCCTGATCGGGGGAGCCCAACCCTAACTGGTTGATGGGCCCCTGTCGCACAGCACATACAAATAGAGAAGGTGGGGATCAAGGCTCGTTTAACGAGGTTCACCGTGAGCCGCCACACCCACCTACAGTAACCCTAAACCGATCTAAAGACCGTGCTGCCAGCGACAAGATGTGCCCCACCACCGCCGTCGGCCCACTGCAGGGTCACCACCGGACCGCTGTCTCTCCATCAGCGCCACTGGACTTCACCCCCACCGCGCTGGACGTCTTCTACACTGCGGCACCGGCGTCTATCCGCTATGGTGCATCTACCGAGAAGACAAGGAGAGAGGAGTCTACCCGGATCTACGGGTTACACAGAGAGAGGTACACTCATCGATCCTAACAGAGTGTATAGCGAGAAGACTAGCTAGAGGCGGCTAGAATACTTAAGCCGTGTTCTTTGGGCTGCTTGCTACTTACTCCGGTCTCGTCTCAAAATAACTGCTCCTCTGTCATAAAGTAAGTACACATCTCATTTTCTAAGGAGCCAAATGGTTTTAAGTTTTAATTACCAAATATATATAGTTGTCTCCAAACAAATTTATTATAAAATTATATTTCACTACTTGTTACACATCATAAATATGATTACTTTTTTATATATGTACTTGGTCAAATTCTAAAATGTTTAATCGCCATGATGTGCACTTATTTAGGGACTGAGGTACACATCCCGTTTTTCTAAAAGTCAAGTTTTGTATATAAAAATATATACTAATGTGTATGATGCGCATAGTACCATTAGATTAAATATTTTCTATAAATTTAGTCAAAATTTAAAAGTTTGACTATAAGAAAACGATATGTACAGTTATTATGGGAGATAGAGTACATAGCTATACTGAAAATGTGTAATGCTGATAACATAAAAAAAAGTATGAAATGACCAATTGACTTGACTTGCTTTTGGATCGTAGCTACCTCACGAGGCAAATTAAAGGCGAACAACGAGCATCACGACACAGACCGACGACGCGTCAATCGTCATGCACATATTTTGCATTTCTCTTGTTCTGAATTCCTGTATCTTAACACCTCTTTCTTAATATTTTCTACATTTTTCTTTTCCTTTGTTTTACCACTATACACCAATTTTATTCCTATGTTTTTTTATTCCTCTGTTTCCGTTTCTTTATTCCAAACATGCCTTACAATTTTGATTGGTAGAATATTCGGACCGCAAAATAGCAAAAAAAAGCTGAATTTTTTTTAACCTCAGGAGGCCCCACTGGACAGCCACACACGCACGCCATCGCAAGACACAAGTCACACGATTATTTACGCGTGTTGTGCGGCAGCAGTCACATTATTCGCGTGTGCTGTACGGCAGCCACCGGCACTTGAACCCGCTACTTGTGGCTTCACGTGTTCATCCCCTGACCACTCCACCCATACAATACTTGTGTTCAAATGTTATATATTCGTCCTCCTCATTTTATCTTCATCTGGCTTTAAAACGAGTATTTGAGACTCTAACTGATTCAAATAAAAAAGTTGTCAACTGTAATTTTTTATAACTTTTTAAGATCTACAACTTTGGTTTTGATTGTTTCTCCATCCGAGGTCGTTTGAAAATTTTTGATTTCAAATGTGAGAAATTCAAACGTAATTTCCCAAATATAGATGAATTCAAATAAAAAAGTTATCAACTACAAAATTTTATAACTTTTGAGATCTACAACTATCGTTTTGGTTGTTTCTCCATCCAAGGTTGTTTGAAAAATTTAAATTTCAAATGTGAGAAATTCAAACGTAATTTTACATGCAGAGATGATTTCAAGTGAAAAATTTGCCAACTACAAGGTTGCATAATTTTTTTTTGAGATCTGCGACTTTCATTTTGGTCGTTACTCCATCCGAGATCGTTTGAAAAATTCGAATTTATTATGCAGCTTCTATTTTTTTGAGGCGGCTGGAAATCGATTTTTAGAGACTGGCTGAAAATAGAGCTGCCTCTAGAAAAGCAGCTTGAAATAGAGTCACCTTTAAAAATAGGGGCATTTGTAGAGGCGGCTGAAAACAACAGCTACCTCTACAAATGCATTTTTAGAGGCAATTCGGTTTGGAGGCCACTGTAGAGGCGGTTCAATAGTAAAAGGCTTTCCGTTGCTACAAATCAAATTTGTAGTAGTGGATTGTGGGCATGATTTTTCAACTTGAAAAGACCTAGCCTTTTTTAGCCTGGCTTAGATTGAGAAATGCTTTAGGGTCTAATCTAAAGCTTCAAAATTGGAACTTAGGATTTGCAAATTTTAATTTACATTTATACTACTAATAGATTGTGAGACCCAGCGCATGTGCCGAATTCCGTTTGGGCCGAGGCACTGTAACTACGCGCGTGGACTGTGGTCCGAGGCTGTAGCTGTGGGCACTATAGCACCGAGGTGGGCTGAGCCAAAATCGGGGTTACTGTAGCGTCGGCTCACTGTTTGGTCAGTTACTGTGAATCCTAGACGGCCAGACCGACTTAAATAGTCCCAAACAAAGCACCAGTATGCAATGTTTCAAAATTAAAAGATGTATTATGTAAATGCATCTATATATACGAATGTGTTTCTATGTGAACGTCTCTAATAGACATGCTTAAAAAGTTCATCTTTACACACCCTGACATTATTCTTGTGGACACATTCATAACAAGCTTTATAAAATAGATTCTACAATATTCTAAAAATCAAATGAAGTAGCACAACTGTTTAGTCAGCCGCCATTGACAAGGCAACCAATGAAACTAATCAGGATATATCAATAAAAATATAGAAAGCGTACCAAAAGCCTACAAACAATTAAACACTAATAATTGCCAAGGAAAATAAGCATCTAGGATCACAACTTAACATCAGTTCATACTCTACAGTAAAAACTGCAACAAATTTCTTATAAAGGATCACAAAGTATCAAGGAGTTCACAACCACTAGCCAAATGGAAACAACCTTGGGTGCATTCGGCATCTATAGAATTGGTCTGATAGGATTGTGTATCCATCTTAATTATGTCCAATCCTATCGTTGAAGCACTCAGGGCACTCATAGTGCTTTATGCGATTTGCTTTTTTGGCTGTAATCTTCACACATTTTCCATGGTACCACTGGTTGCAAATATCACAACAGATCCAGAATGCACTTGTATGGTAGTGGCCATCACAAACTGAACATACGACCGGATCACTTAGAGCTTCATCCTCACTCTCAGGCTCGTAGTTCTTTTCAATAACTGGCCCACATAGCTTTGCCTAATGAAATGAGAAATCAATCTATGTTAATTTTAGTACAAATAGATCGGTTTGCATATTTCGTACTTTGATCAGTAGCAATGTACCTTTTCTTCTAGATGGCATATGCGGTAGGTTTCACTGGCAAGGAATGTTTCGCGTACTGTTGGAAAGCTATTAATCATATTGAACAAGTCCTCCCTGCCAGACAATGAGCAAATCATTAACTTATAAATAATGCTTTAGCTGAAATTTTGAAACAAATTTGACATCAAAAGCATGGAGAAACTTTGGCAATTATACATTCTTCAGAAAGTATACCAATAAATTTAATACAAAATCATCAGGAAAAGGCCACTAATCCAATATGAGCAAACAACCTCGGGTATGATGCAAAATAAAGGAATAAATAACAATAGTGTTTTGAAGCAACAAAATAATTGGTTAAACTTAACCAATTTGCATTTCAGTATGATGGTTTGGTTTTCGAAGTAAATAAAATATGATGATCAAGAGAAGATACATGTATTTTCACAAGACAAATGCTTTGTCCAATCAAGTATTGATGAAATTATCATTATGCATCATTGATGTGTATTAGATCTTCTCACAAACATGTCGCCGTTGGCTAGGAGAGGCAACATTGGAATGTAATGTACATGATCTAAAGTGATGAACATGGAAAAGTACTTGCCATATCCTGGTAGGCTTCATTCCTTTGGTTTAATATAGTATAAATAAATGGCTTATGTCCTAATTTAAAAGTCAGACCTCCATTGCAAATATTTTCACACAATACAACTAGCACTACATCCAACTATATTTTTTAATCTTTTCGATAAAATAGCACAGTTTAAACTCTTATACACATTGGAGAACCAAAAGGATAATTTGTATTGATGGTGCAAAGTTGAGGATGAGAATGTTTTTTCTGCTAAAATGCAAATAATGTCATAGGTAAATTATAAATAACCAAGCACAAAACTAGACTAGTGTCTAGCTGACTAGAACAGCTCTAGTCAGCTAGACACTAGTAGAACTGAAATGATAACAAAAACTTTACAAATAAAGAAGACAAGTTGAAATCTAACTTTAATATGTTTTTCTTAGTTTAGCTCACCACTATTAATTTATATGTTTGTTTTAGTGTATATATACTTTTAAATATTACACTTACAATGGCTCAGAGTTGTTAAGATTATCCCTAAGTGCTACATTTCAAAACTACAGTGTTACAATTAAATAATGTGCACATGTAGTGAACAAGCAAGAATTGCTTGTCAAGAGAAATATACCAATCCAAGTATCTAATTACTTTTCGATGCTTTGTTTCACTTGTGGAGTTGTGGTATATGAAATTGATCTGATGTGTAAAATATGGAAAAGCTTAATGTGCCAAACTTCACCTATATTGTAACTTTTCTAGTAACAAACATATTTTAAATCATGCCAAAAGCATCAATTCTAAGTAAAAAGAAGACAGAGAGGTTGTGGTAAACAACTATCACATAGTTGATTACTTGAGTTTGAAATAAAATCAAACGAAGATTGAATTTCCTTCATAATAATAAAATATAAGTGACAAGGCTAAACTATTTTCATGTATGCATAGTTAATCACTATATAACTAATGAACACCACATGGGTAAAAAGAAAAAACTTTAAAATCCTTAGAAGGAAAAACAATGAAGCACACACAAGTACCGTTATTTAGCTTTCATATGTTGGCTGAGGGAGAAGGAGATGTTGATGAGCCATGTGTCACCATGCATGGCAATGTGTTCTAGCCATTTGATGTGTTTCAAATTCCCTCTCACTAGGTTGATACCATGTAGTTCATTAGGCTTCGATTGTCGCAACTCCCAACTCCCATCAATGTTGCCATATAGGTACAACGAGTGTGCACCTACACCAAACACAAAATTGTTTCTATTCACTTGGTCACAACATTCACATTGTGAGTCAATAAAAGATCAAACATTGACTCATATTGATCCCACCATGACTCACCTTGGTCATGCTTACCAAAGAATCCCTCCTCTTCCGTATGGTTGTACAGTGGAAGAGCTAAGATTTTTCGGGGTGATCAACATTAGAATATAGAGTATCATAATGAAATGTTATATTTGCAATATATTCAAAGATGAACCAACATATCTAAGTGATTTTCATTGTTATCTCTTTAAGTTTTATGAAAAAGTATAAACTCATAATCCATCCAAGCAACCAAAAAAATATTGCTACTCCATGCATGTTCTTATTTGTCTTCCTCTTCATAAAGGGCACCTTTAAATACTAACAAAAAAAATAATGCCACCAAAGAAAGATCATATACTACCAATTTCCAAATAAAAAAGTTTATCGTCCAGGAATGAAAGAAATAACATGAGGTTCTTGTTTTTTTATTTCACTATTTAATTTCCATATATATCATCTAGGAAAAAAATATTCAAAGAGAAAGCATTCCAATTGTCAAACCAGAATGATTATATTGGCGCTATCATACACATAGTAAGGTGTTAACTTCTGCTTCTAATCAGTGAATTTTCATAGTAGTTGAGATCTTAAATGAACCCCCCTCTCGGAATTGAACAAGCTACCTAGATATAACTATTTCATTGGATCCATGGGCTTGAGATGACACAATGTGGCTAGCTATTTACTAGTGATAAATCACCTTCGGTGACGGCGCGGATGAGACCGAGACGGCGATAAGTGAAATCCAAAATGATTTTCCCTACAGTGTACGATGGTGTTGACCCAGCTAACGGAGAGAGTGTCCGTGGCAACATCTACGCCCCCTCCATGGGCATCTCTGTGGCTAGCTGGCTCTGCACCGATAATGAGCGAATGCGGGTAATAGCCAACGAAGGCAGAGTGGAATCCATGGAGGATTGAAGAAAAATCACCATGTAGCTTTAGATCTGAGAGACGGAGCAGAGGGAGAAAGCGGGAGGAATGAGACTACTAGGCCTTGTTTAGAATGTTTTATAATCACATGATGTCATTGAGAGAAGGGTAGGGATAGGATCCTTGGAGGATAAAGGGCCCACCTTTTTCGGCCTTGGTTGGGACCAATTATTGCATTCTATGTGAAGGGGGTGATATATTAAGGGCGTGTTTGATTTCATTGCCGTGTCCTGATTGGCCCGCCAGCTAGCCCCAGGCCAGCCATGACCTGGCCCAGAGAGCACAAGTGCGCGTGTTTGATATGTTGCACTAGAACAGGCAGTCCCAACTGGTCCTGTGTTTGATTTAAACCAGGCAGCTAGGCCCATGACCAACTAACTCCAACTACCAGTTGGAGATTTTGTTTAATGCTAGCCTGGCTCGGCATGTCCCAGGAACCAACAAGGAATACATCACAAGGAACAAGTCATTTGCAAATGAACCAACGGAGCTTCGTTAACACAAACGGTGTCCAAACACAGACTTACAACAATATGAAGTACATATTAGTGACAAGCAAGTGGCCTAATCCTTCTAAGCCTAGTGATAAAAAAAGAAAGCATCACCACAACCATGGCTGCCGCTTGTTTGGCCATCAACTGATGGTGTGCAGGGGGATCCATCTACATGCATTCAACATTCAAAGACAAAACTCAGTTCTAGTACACCCTGACTAGCCTGAACATGCATGAGTAAGCATTCCACAACAAAAAGTAGCACGACTGCATAGGAAAAATGACTCCAGTGCGTTGGACATATTCATCATCGGCCGTAACAGTACATAAAACAAACTAAACACATGAGCATACGCATTGATCTGTTCCAAAGAACCAGCCTTAACAGAAACAACAACATCGACCTCAACTCAAGAAATGCAAAAACATAATGAAAATAACCATGACATTCATCATTTCCACATGTGCATCGAAACCCTAGGGACAAACTAAACCCTAACATCACCAGAGTGAGGGAATGGGGTCAATTTCACCTCGGGGTGCTCGTCGGAGACTTGGAGGTGTGCAAGACGGAGAAGAAGAAGAGTCACTGGTGAAGAGGTAGCAGATCTAGAAGGAGAGGAAGCAGATCCGCCACCACCAACACCAGCTGCAACACCGGAGACGAAGAAGACAAAGGAGGAAGACGACCGCCTCCACGGAGCCCGGCAGGAGACGGAGCGACGACGCGGTGAAGCTGATCCAAAGCAGGGGAACAGAGATGAAGTCTAGGGACGCAGGCCACCACCGCGACGGCCACCACCTCTCCAAATCCGTCGATCACTCAACGGGATTGTGGTGGAGAACGAGGGGGAGGAGGACAACAAAGGGAGGAGAACACGACATCGTGAGGGAAGGAGCAGGTTATAAAGATGGTACCGCGGGGGAGGGAGGGAGAGCACGCCGCGCGAGCCAGACGCCGCCGCCAAAAATCGCCCAAGAGGAGACGGAGAGAGCCAAGCCCGGGAGAAATGAAACCTAATTTTGTTTCCGTATGCAGGAGAGAGAGATTTGCACGGGCACAGCCGGGCTAAGAGGGGGCCAAAGGATATCAAACACGCGTAGTAGCAGCTGGGGGCCGTAGCCAGGCCCTATGGGCCGATATCAAACACACCCTAATGTTGGGAGTCAAGCTGGACTCAATGTGTGAAAAGAGCATGGGTGCCAAGGTTAGTAGGATGCTTAGGCGGTTCTAGACACGGTGGTGACTGTGTGGAATATTACAACCCAAGTAATTAAACTAGACTAATCATAATGTAATTTCTTACTTTATTAGTGAAAAATAAATTAAGTTTTGTTGGCTTTCAAGAATATGAAAGGACATGTTTGTTGGTTCTTTCTTGGTAAGTACAAATAGGCAGTCTGTTTGGCATTTGTTTGCGAGCAATAGGTTTGGCAAGTGGCATTTTTGGTAGGTTTCACAAAAAAACCTCAAGGTTTTAGACTATCAAGGTAGAAATTGTAAGCGTTCAAGGCATGCCTTTGACATGATGCGTAGTGTAAAACTTCTTCTACTTACCTACTAATGCCTGTGTATCCATCAAGGAAAAAAGAACAATTGACTGATGCTTACCCGTATAGTTCTATTTTTTCCATTATGCTGCGAAGTCCAGTGGGTTCCTAAGTTCACCATGGAAATGGTGCTATCACATTATCACGCGCCAGAAGATGACCGGGGAATCACTATATTTTGTGAGATTGATACAAATGAGGAGCACGCCAAGTTGTAGAAACTCTGAACTTGCGTGGAACTTAAGGTTCAATGGAAACTTGGAAAGTACTAGAGAATGGAGATGTAGAGTTAGGCAATGTTTGGATTAGCAGAACAAGGCCATCATCGGCGGTGACTCTAGCTGGACACGCAGAAGTTACAAGGCCGGCGAGCGGACATTTTGGGCCCAATAAATTACGAAACTGAGGAGAGAGAGAGAGAGAAGGTGCAAAGACATATGAGTCTAAAAAGAGACCAGATGTGGGGATTTCTCCTCTATTTCGCCTATTTCCGTTGGGTCTTCTTCCTAAGGAAATAGAGAAGAAGGTTCATTCTAGTTCCCTGAAGTATCAGCGTAGTCTGATTTTACTTCGAACTCCAAAACACGACATCTTATCCAATAAATTTTCAAGACCATTCAAATTAACTCATTACCTCGGTTTTGAGTTGTTTTGAAGGCGATTTTGTCCTTTTTAGTTAACAAAATTCGATAAATACTTGATGAGGTTTGTAAACCACAAAAACGTCTCTAATGTTTAAAAAATCCAAAAAAGTTGAGACAAAAAAGTCAGTTTCTAAACAATGTAAAAATGAAATTACAATTGCAACATTGTGTTTCCTATCTTATGATAAAATCTTTAAAACAAGACCCCTGCGTGGATACATTTGAATTATATTTTTTTGCTATTTTTTATCCAGATTTTTTATTTATGAAAAACGGATTTGTAGGAGCGTGCCTGTGGTTAGTGCAGTGGGTAGGGAACTGGACGAGATCTGCTTGGTAGATAGCGAGTTTGTTACGGAGTTCATTCATAGCCCCTCTTTATGGCCCGCCCTTCAAGCTTCTCCGATTCCGGCCCATAGACGCGCGCGGCTGCTCCTCGTTATGGCCCGCGACGGCTCAAGGAAGGGACTCTAGTGTCTAGTCCCTTGTCATACAAAACTCGTTGCATCGTCCAATCCAATCTAAAAAATAGCAAAGGGCTAGCTATATGAAACGATCTTACGAGCTCGTAATCGGATGCAAAACATACACAGCAAAGGGCCAAGTTAGCTCAGAAAAAAAAACTGCTAGGGATCAACGAGAAGGGCACGGAATATCCCTACCCTGGTACGTCATACAAGAGGTATGTATACGTCATAAGGAAGCAGTGCTCATCACAGGAGCTACCCCTCCCTACCAGCATATATATAATTCCCCTGGCTCGATCTGATGAATACAACCCATACCATACGCGGGCAGTTCAAAACCCAGCAGAGCAGGCAGCACGCTGCAAGCAAATTTGCAACAAACCGGCCGGATAGGATTCAGGAGAGGACCATGCATGCATGACACGCAATAAGGACCACCACTGAGGCGAGCAGTGAGCGAGGATAGGGGAGGGAGGGAGGCCGCCGCGCAGCCAAGGGCTAGGAGGCCTAGCTAGGGTTTCTTTTTTTTCTTTTTTCTTTTTGCATGCATTGGTGAGATATAATAGGTGAGAGTTTAGTTTGGAAGCCATCATCGTCTTCGTGGTCGTTATCGGACGAAGCTAGCTAGCTGATCATTATGGAGTCGTCGGAGGACGACTTGCTAAGCCAGCTGCCCAGCGACGTCCTAGTTTCAATCCTGCAGAAGCTCCCCCTCCGTGACGCCGTCCGGGTCGGAGTCCTCTCCCGGCGATGGCGGTGTCTTCCAGCTTAGCAGCCGAGGATTGTCCTGGATATCACCAGCTTCTTGCCGGGCAATGTGGTGCTGACATCGAAGAGGAGGAGGATGCCGTCGATGATAATGATCCTGACGGCGAAGAGGAGGGCATGGCGCATGCGGTGGATGATGGTGTCGTCGACGATCCTGACGACACCCAAGAGGAGGAGGAGGAGGA